CGTCCCGGGACAGCACAAATACATACGATGTTTTTTATTTTATGATAAGGCTGAACGCCAAGCAGCTGTATCTCTTTCGTAATGCATCAAGCACTTGAAAGAAATACACAAGGATCGTGCACGCACATTGCATATGATACTGACCATCTCTGGCAGGAGAAGAAAAAACACGGAAGCAATCACTTACAGTATGCGTGCTTCAAAGTAGACTGGTGGGGCTGGTCACCAGTCTAGCTTCAAAGGGAAAACCGAGTCTGTCCATCTGAAACAGTTTGACCGATGATCGCATAATGGGATGATGCATGATATGTGACGCCAGTATCAAGGGAGGATGTGGAAAAGACAAAAATATGACTTTGTTTCAAGATCTCCACCCATCGTGCCAACAAACTCAGATGAGCGTCATCAGTGATAGGCATTCCAAACATGTGGTGAGCTGTGCGTCCACGGTCATAAGCGGTTGCGCGGAGGGCTGCCAACGATCAACACGATGTCTCCGTCACGGTATGTTGGAGGAGATAATACTTCCACCAAAAGTCTTTCTTCGTCCTAGTCGACCCTCCACAAATAAAAAACTGTTCTCGTGAGTCTGAATTGCATGGTAAACCTGTTCGAAAACGCGCCGTTGTTCAGCATTGAGCTGATTATACATGTTCTCGCTCCTTGCGTGAAATTCACACTCATTCCTCCACAAATATAATTCGTCATATACATCCAAAGATCTCCGTCGCGCTGTTGGTAGCCCGTAATCTCCGAGATGTTTGCTATATAGTGCGATAGATGGTTGTCAATGATTTGCGGCGTGTACTCGTGTCCACTTATTTCCCAGTCTAAGGATGTGATGAAAAGCAAAAATGAGAAGAGGATCGATCAGAGCGCTGCACAGCATTGACAGAGCGGACCCAACTGACACCGAGCCGCTTATATTATGATCCTCAAGCTTCCATCCATAAATATTTAAATGGTAGACATTGATAAAGTATTGGCAGTATTGCGCATATGTCGTGTTCGTCAGAATGAAAGGAAAATCGAACCAAGTGTCAGGGTATCATTGCGATAGTTTGGATCAGTGAACGCTCGCAGCACAAGGCTTCAATGTTCTGTTGCACTGGGTTTTGCTTCTGCAGGAAGAATGACTATGATCTTCTTCACTTCGTCGGATGCCACTCGCACTTGGCTTGCAGGAATCACCCACCTTTCCACAAATCGTCATACGAGCTGCCAGATGCCGAATCAACAAGAGATTGAACGAAGAGTACAAAGATAGATCCAATTCATACATCCTACAAATATCGTCCATGTCCTGATCTCTCCTCGATACCTGCAACAACAATACCCCCTCTCAACATCCTCTCCTCGTCGTCCATGTCTCCACCGCCAGGGGCCCGTTCACTATAGCCTCTCACCAAAATCTCATTCACGCGCTCCAAGCTCTGGGCCGCAGCCAGGATCGCGAGCATAGTGGGTGTGGGCGAGATCATGGGTTGCGAGGTGCTCGAGGCGAGAGTCGTTGAAACAGAGGTCTTCTGTCCTGCCTGCACCAGCTGGTCAGGGTATGAAGGGAACGGGAGCATCGGTGAAGTCTCAGTCCCTCTATTAATCTCTTTCTTCCTCCCTTTCCTGGATCTACTCTGACTCTTGCGCTTCTTGAGTTTCTTTGCGGAGGAAGGGAGCGGGAAGAGCGAAATGTCAGGGGAAGTAACATACGCACTCTGATTTGCGTTCGAATCTTTTTGCGATCCCAGGTTGGCCTTCGCCTTGGTCTCTGAGCTCAAGGAACTGTTGTAAGTTCCCGCAAAAACCTTTGCTTTGGACGTTGGCGGAGAACGTGAAACCAGCTTCGGGCTTGAATTCGCAAGTGTGGCAAAACTGAGCGCGCCGCATGACGTAGAAGTGAAGAGTAGTGCGGCTTCGAGGGGGGGAGACATCAGGAACGGGGGACTACGTGGGAGAACGGAAGAGTCGATTTGCGGAATCGATATGCCACCCTCCAGCGATTTGGGCTCAGATTCCATTCTTTTCTCGAGAAGGTCCTGCTGCTTACGCTCTTTAGATGGTCCTTCACGCGTCGAAGTGGATACAGCAGATCGCGGCATTGGTGATGGGAATCGCGGGGGTTGTGAAGGAGTTTGTATAATGTACGGTATGGATGGAGAAGGTTTAGCCGGGGATGAAGATGAGAGCAGCGGCACGGCTTTATTCTTCCAACGAGGCGTCCAGAACTGACTGACTTTCGAGATGGGGGTCCGTGGAGTTTCTGTCATTGTTGCATAACCAGTATGCTGATCGCCGGTGGCCTTGTATTTGCGAGACTTTCCGTCCCCATATCTTGTGCCCCTAGGTGTCTCAGCCACCCCTTCAGGTGTTTCCAACCACGCCCTCACAGGCCGCTGCACCTCCCCTCCCGCACCACCCTCAAGCGAGCGCAGTGGAACATCCACAGCGCTGCTCCTTCCCTCATAGGGAGTCGTACTGTTCACTGTATTTGCGGGGTCGAGGTTTGGGGCTAAAGTGGGGATTGAGTTGAGGCGGGGATGGTTACTCGGGGAGGAATCGTGCATCCTGACCGCAGCATATTGTCTGCCATTAGCCGAGATCGAGGGATTTAAGATTCTCTGGAACATGCTGCGTCGAGACTGGCCTGCCTCTGCCCTTTCTGCATCATATACGCTAGAAGAAGCACTATGCGTCCACGTGAACGGGTCGCCATGATCAGAGCCCCCGGCCCCAGCCGAGTTGAACTGATTTGCACCTATAAGGAATGGTGTACAGAGAGGTTTGGTCACAGTATCATCGCTGGTGGCTTGATCACGCATGTGCGTGGGGAAGAGATACCGCGTGCCGTGTACCGTTGTTTTGCTGGGTGTGCTCGCTGCAAAGAGTATAACTTCTTCCATGCTCCTGTTGCGAGTTGAATGTGGTCCAGGGCCTTCTACATCGTCAACACCGCCATCACCCTCATCAGGGGGCGCGGGTGCATAGGCTGGACCAGGTTCAAGATTAATCCTACTCCCACCGCCGGTCTTCCTGCCACCTAGTCCACATATACCAGAACCCGCATCGCCGGTTTGCCGGAACTTCCACCACAGACTCGCGGCGCCCACCCCAAGTAAAATTCCTAACACTGCAAAGAGCGGCGCTAGAAATATGACATCAAGGTGCTGGTGGTAGGAAACTTTTGTGACGTCGTGAGGCAGAGTCGTATTAAGAGGAGGAAGGGCGGTGATAGAAATGATGGTAGCTGTGGTTGCACTTGCCTCAGTGAACGCAGGGGCAATGACAGAGGTAGGGTCGTCTATAAGGGTTGAATCTAGAGATGTAGAAGAAGGGGGATACGACGATGAGGTTAGACCATCGTCCTGACGTTCATATGCATACACGTAATTAATATTCCAATGGGTCAAAGTCCCACCTCCGCCCGATTGTGTGGCATACTCATTTTCCATCATGCACGCTCACCAGCCAACGCTGGGATACAGCTGCAATATATGATCTGGGCCGAGGACAAGAACCGAGACGCGACTTTCTACGCCAAGGGCGCTGAGGTCAGCGGCCGGTGCGTCAAGGGAAAGGCCAGCAGCAAGGAAGGTGGCCCGACGAACTAGATGGGAAGCGGGCGAATAGGATGCGCCTGTGACACCTGAACGCTTTGTCTTGCGCCAAAAAGTCCTGGGGCGAACTGTGGGATAAGGATCGGTATCAGAAAAGAAGTAAACAGGAAGAGAGGACTCACAGAGAGAAGGTGCTGGTCGCGGGAGCTCACGCGTATATGTAGATGTAGCTGGAAACGTAGAGAATACGCGTCGTGGGGGAGCCTTGACAGGTTCAGAGAAAGAAACCTGCTTGGGCGGGGCAGACTGCGAACGGGAAATGCTTGATTGGTTTCGGTGCGCTCTGGATGAACGCTTAGGAGGTAAAAGCAGAGCTTCGTCAAAGGTTCGCACTTCGACGGGCGAAGAAGGTGCCGTCGAAGGATCTGCTGTCTCAAGAGTAACCATGACTGGTGATGCGAATTCAGGCTGGCTGCGGCGAGCAAGATTCAGGCTGAAACCAAGTGCGGAATGAGGTCTTGGATAGAGTGGAGTCGGTGAAACGAGCACGGTAACATCTGCCATAGTTTGAATTGAAAGGAGCGACGAGAGGTTAGTTGAAGCTAGTTAACTTGAGAATATTTGCGTCCGTCAAGTGAAGACAATTACATAAATAAGTTTGGGTCCAAATATAGAAGGTCCTGTAGTTTGCCGATCTAAACGCAACCCGAATGTTGAACGTTATACAACTGCAGTCGGACTGGGCCTGAATCTTTTCACGCTGTCAGATTCAGAGTACTCATCATATTCAGTGCTCAAAAGCTTTGAGCCCATCGGCGTCAACGTCAGCTACTATTCATAGGCAAGCCGGCATTCAGCCTAACATTCGCCCACCTTCAGAGTCAAATTGCACAACACGGCACTCGCGGATTATGCATCGGGTGTACTATCCAAGCCTATCATGGTCGTGTGCTGAACTCGTGTGCTCGTGACCGGCGATAAAAAAAGCAACCAGTGCAAACTCGACGATATACACCTACATTAAGATACATGACAATACCGCACCGCATCAACATTATAATTGTTTTCACTAGGTGCACTTTCTTGATGCCGCATCTGACGCCTGAAATTAATCATCCGACATGCAGCGCAGACGGTCAGACCATGCCTCCCACGAACCTCCAAGAACACATCATTAAATATGTCATGAACGACATGTCGATCCGCTTGATTCACCTCAAGGTAATGCAGCTAGTATACTGCAGTTTCGTCAGGAATTTTTTTCAACAGCGTGTAGACAAGCTTACAGAAACTGCCATATATGAAATCAACGGTCACCGTCCAATGGCTATCTAGATCTTCGTACAAGGCACCGTGGGATATGTTACTCCATCCAATCAATGGGCGAATGGCAAGGGACTGCCGTACGAAGGTATGGTGTGGAACAGAGCGGCCGAATCTGGGTAAGAAAGAACTCAAAGGTTCTGCGAAAAAAATAAGCCCGATGGTTTGGAGTTTGCGTGGGTGGACACGTGTTGCATCAACGGGAGCAGCACGGGATCGGACAAATTGCTTCGGTCGATGTTTCGATGGTGCCACAACTCTAGCATTTGCATAGTCCATCTTGGTAGACGACAACTACCCTCGGTGATACGGAAGAAGATGAATGTTGGCAGAGGGAGTTCAGGAACACTGTATACATTGCCCCGCGGACCATGAAGATCTTGAAAAAATTGGACTCCGTTGACGGACCAGAATCGTTCTTCAGATTGATGCACACTATCATGCTGAGGGCCCGGTGCATCAACGCTTAACTTGGCTGGCGATTCTGCCCGACACCCTCTGATACACCCCAACTTCACCTGCTAGTTATGTAGGCCATCCCCTCGACATGACGTAAACCAGGTGGTGCTTGCGCGTTCGATTATTGTATTTCTCCTAAAACCCGTTAAAGACTCCGCCAGAGGCGTCCATCACCATAATGACAGTTGCAAAATCAGACTCCATCGCACCTCTCTTCTACAGACTGCCCAGATTAGATTTCAAAGTGTCGTCACTCAACAGATTACTCCGACCAGATCCTGGGCTTACACCTTTTCGCCCTCGACAGGGCACATTCAACCCTGGTCTCCCGAACACATCAGTGCCATATCTGTTGCAAAGGAATGGACATTCGAGCGGCGATAAGCCAAGTCCCCTTCAAGTTACTGGCAAACACAAAATTAGCTGGGAAATGTAATTCGAGGGATGAAGAGACTGGTACGGTTTGCATTCCCGAGGTACCGGCGCAAACAAGGCAAAGCCCTGCTGACGAACATTCTTTCTCCATCAGTCGTGATGATTTACGTATCCTGTTAACTTGTAAGGTGGGACTTAGATACTGGGTTGCCCAGGCCAAGAATCTACATTTCAGTGAGAGCGTGCAATCATCCATAATTTGAAAAGAACCTTGAAGCTCCAGCTTCAACATTCGGTGAACCTAAAACCTGATGCGGTGAAAGTCCCGCTTGAAAGGGGACAAGACGGCCATTAATATCCCAGCGGGACCTGACTCTGCTTGGGAAGTTAGTTTTGGATCGGCCGCTGAACGTCGAACGTGAATGTTGGTGCAAGCAACTTCAACATAGAGCACGCGTGCATTTTCAGAGGGTCGCGTCCAGTCTGAGGGGTTGCAGAGTGGTGTTTATCCTCGTTTATCTTTTTTTTTTCTGCCTGTCAGCATCTTCAACGTCACAGACAAACATTTATACACGGTGGAGTTGACGTGCCTACGTCTTCAGAAGCTGATACTATGACGGTCCCACACGGCGAATACGAGGAGGGTGTTGTTGCTGTGCTCCATTGAGTGGGATGACACAGGTGCGGTAATGAGGGCCGCCCGATATCAATGGACTATCCTGTTCGCGAACTTCGACCACGATTCGAATCGGTCTAGGTGTTGTATCTTGAGCATATTGATATTTAGTTCTGTACATGCACATATGCCATGGACCTGCGAGGTGTAAGTGTGAAATTATGAATCGAGATGTTGATGTTGAGCCGAAGAGGGGACAGGGCGGGTTGAAACTTGACGTGTATATCCGAGCCTGACCTGAGTCGCAAATTTCCTTGGTGTCACTATGTCCACTGCAGGGGCTTCTGTCCCGAGCTCAATTATGGTGCGAACAACTCAATATACAGTGTATCGAGTTTCAAATTGCTGATATCGATCACCTATCGTCTACAGTCACCCAACGCCCTCTTCATGCACGAACGAGGACTCAGTACACAGTGTGAGCATAGTTTCCTCCTAGTTTCTTTCAAGGTCTTTCATTCACTATCCCAGCAAATATTCTCAATACTCCGATTCAAACAATAATGCGATCCATCTCTTCCGAAGGACCCTTTCGAACCCTTCTAATGGCCGAACCTCCTGATCGAATTCATATTTGATCATGCATGCCCACCGGCCCCGCGAGACGTTCCCATTATACCACCTGCGTGCACGCAAGCCATCGACCTACGTAAAGCGGGCGAACGACGCAACGCAGCCTTCACGTTGCATCTCCAGATACGCGCAAACCGACTTGTTTGGGATTGAGAACATACAATTGAGGAAGGGCCTGTGTAATTGTGAACCTAAAGGTCTTGAAAGCGTAAGGTTAAGAAGCCCTTGCATTCTGCGGGAGATTCTCCCGGTCTAAAGAAGCCTAACAAAGTCAGCCAATAATCTCTCATACACTTGCACCACGGATCAAAGTCACTTACCAGACCATCATCACACTCGGGACAGGGAATAGAGCAAGTTTATTGTCGTACCTTGTCTCAATCTTCGTAAGGACCGCGGACTGCTTGGACTATGCTCAATCAGAACGAATATGAAGCTTCTCGATCACAGGAAAGCAATAATTACTTCGGGGATTCCTCCTCTGGTCGCAACTTCGATGTGAATGGGTCTGTTCAGTGTATGCGGCATGGAGGAAGCAGCGCTTGCGATGGTATTACTTGAATTTCTCCGGGTCCCTAATAAAGTGACTTACAAAATAGGTTTGATACATTAGTAGGTGAAGAAAGAGGTATAAAAGACGCAATCGAGCAAGCTCTTGTTGAAACCCATCCAACCCTTACACCTACTAAAGCATCATCACAACCATGACTATCCCAGTTCCAGGCATATACGTGATCTACAACATCCAATACTCCACCCTAGATGTCGATTTGCACTGGGCCAATGTTACTGACGGCGCTCCTGTCGTCGGTTACATCTACAACGAATCCACCCAGAACATGCTGGTTGGTGCAGATATTGTGAATATGCGTGTTTGATCTCACCGAACCCGACTCTGCAGTGGAACTTGCAGGTTGTCGATGAAGAACAGGGTCTGGTGCAATTTGTCAACCTCGCGGGCAACAATTATGCTGGAGTCTCTGGCGAAATCGATGTGAGTGCGTCCAGTAACTTTGCAAGCTGGGGTTGACAACAAGAAAATCAAGGGCTCTGGAGTCATAGGAACCTCCATCGAAACTACTTTCAAACTTCACGAGAGGAAAATTGGGGAATATGAGCGAGTTCCATTTCTCTTTCATGCGTCTTTAGGCTCAAACAACACCATCAGGATTCAGACATATAACTCTGAGCTCGTCTGGGAGCTGCCTGACGGAAACAACTTCACCGAGGTAAGCCTATCTGATAAACTGGACAAATTGCACGTACTCAAGGGTATAGATTATCCTCTCTCCTCCTATCAGCTTCTATGACAACCAGGCTTGGCAGTTCATTCCAGTTGACGGTAACTGAGGGAGTGAAGACACTGAAGAGGGGGGTAAAGCATTGGCGGCAATGACTTGACACCATTAGCACCGATCATGGACTAACAATATTCTTGAGCATCGGAAAGAGGATATCTACCGGCACTGCTGTTATGCGGCTACAGCTATTTATTTGACTTGTAGTAGTGTGATTTTTTTTAGGAAACGAAAAAAGTGCGAGGACTTAGGACATGTCTGCCTAACATAACTAACGTCGAACCATTTGCGAGCACTCAGTATCTAAAAGCCAACGCTGTACACGATCACAATTCCAACAGCGACTACGGCATAATTCAGCGTATGAGAGAGTCGACTGGCTGACACGAAGGTCAGAACAAAAGCGAGAATGGTCCCAAACAACTTGTGAATAACAGGACCTACATTGGCTTGAGGAAGAAGGAATACAATAGCGATGAATGCAATCCATGTAACTGCCGCGATGAGAATGGGTATAGAGAATGCGACAAGCCTCGCACGAAACGCTTTTGGTAAAATACACGGAGAGCAATGAGCATAGCTTGCATCAAGCTTATTTATATTAGGTCCGACCTGAGATGGCCATTTCAAAGGAAGAGCCACTTGCCCGTGAGAACGAGCACATCAGAGAACCTGTGAGAAGAAGATATCGTCATATATCGTCATATATCGTAATATATAGGAAAGGTTTTCGTCACATTGGAATATAAAGTGATATAAAGCAATATATGACTATGTAAAAGCACCATAATCAGCATAATCCCCAGCAAGAACTCACCGGTTTACTGATGCAACGCCGCTAGACTCAGACTGTGACACTCATTTTGAATTCAACTCTTGTGTGTAACCCATCCTCGCCAGTTCAAACTCGTCCGCCCCATCATCGATCAGCTTGGGCTTTGCAACTTCCACCTTCCACAGCTTTCAGGGTGGTCAGACATGATGAGCCGACCGCACAATCCAGATTCGGAATTCTGTTGATGTTCAAGTTGAATAGTGGTTGGAACACTATCCCATTCAAATTATTGAAGCTGTATACACGATATTGGTATATACTGTGTGCCTTGATCAAACGATAACCGCTCGGACAGGTGGCAGACGCGCGATTGTGGGATAAGTAAGCTGAAGTGACTATGTACCTACAGCCGAATCCACTTGAAGCCAGGCGCACGCCCACTAGGCCTAGAAAAGGTTCGTCAGTAGTGCTCTGCTTGAAGTCGTATATTCTACTAAATACCATTACGGGATAGCGACCTGCCAAGGCCTGAGATCCTAAACAAATAAAATGATGTTGTTCACTCATATCAAGACGAGTATATCCTGTTTTCCCTGGAATAGGTCTTGGTATGGATACTTAGGCTGCTGCATGCAGCTGCAAGTGCACTTGAACCCCCGAGTCGAATGGTCATTCAACGAAGCAGGCTCACGCTCGGATTCAGTGTTGGCGCCACCAGGCAGACCACATGGTCCATATTCCCTGGGGGGCTAACGATCAACGACTCTGTACCCACGGCTAGCGGGGAATCGATATTCGGTGTGCAAGTGAGTATGCGAGAACACATGAGTGACTCACAAAATGATACAGATCTAGGATGTGTATAAATTTAAACTGGGTGGGCGAGCAGAAACGCGCAACAAGGTCACGCTCGGATACGCCGAAGCAACAAGGCGCCATTTACAGCTCATTCGCCAAGCTGCAGACGGGTTTTTATTAAGTATGGGCGGGAAACTTTAAAGCTCCATCATCCAGATTCATCCGGATAGACCATAGGGTCTGATGCCATCTGAAGAATCGAAACTATGTACTACTCTCAACAGACCTCGACGAGGTGACCCATCCAAAACTCTGTTTGCCGCCGTGATGCAGCACTTTTGTAGGACAACTCGTTGGTGTTACCATTATCTTTTGAAGAAATCCAGAGAACCGTAGTATAAACGCAATCACCACCGTAGCATTATTCGCAATTTTGCACAGACTCGCCCGACATTAGCGAATTCGCACTGCCGGAACGAATCTAACTTAGGAGTCGCTCGTGATGATGGCATGGGCTCCTTTTTCGTTGCTATATCCCGCCTTTCCATTTGGAATAGCTTCTGGTGCGGATACCACGTTTGTATCGTAATCAGGTGAGCCCTACTGCGCTGCATTCACAGATGCGCATGACGAATTGGTCCGGCTGGGAGCGATGACAGCGGATGCCCACCTCGAAGCACTAGCCGAAAACCCCCCGAGTTGAACAGGTAAGATTGATTACCTAGTGATGTGAAGGTAAGAGACGTCACACGTCTAAAGAGACAAGGACTTCGTAAGTCCCCAGTCGAGTATGAACAGACTGATATAGTATGTACCTAAAGAGACAAGGACTTCGTAAGTCCTGTACTACGTCAGTAAGGAATGTGAGTATCATATAGTGAGACTTACCCCAGTCGAGTATGAACAGACTGGGGAAGAAGGGGAAAACGAGACGAGCGAATGTACCTGGAGCGGAGTTACCGTATTTAGTAAGTACGTTGAAGGTAGTGAACGCGACACCAAACAAAAAGAAATATCTATACTACTATGTTGACGGGTTGATTTCCAACAGAAGGAATTTAAGTGTGACTCAGAGGGAGCCGCTCCTCACATTTTGTTTACAGATAATCCCGTTGCTATGATATCTTTCAGGTAAAAAGACGAAGCGAAATATATTTCCAGTGGTTGCGCAGCACGGCTATTGTATATTTCACACCCGTATTGGTGTTTGAAGGGGCGGTCATTCAAATATTCATTTCCCCTGGTCCTAAATTATAGTGATCTAGAACGGATCACTGCAAGCAGCTTATGCTTGTTTGGAGAAGCGATGGTTCATAGGAGTCACCTACATGTCGTTGTGCCAGGAGCTAACTGTCATTTTATTTTCAATAGGATTATCACCTGCATCATGTAGTATATGCAACATACCAGCAAGCGCTCGACTTGTAGCGAGTTCCCTCAAGACACATATCAGTCACTGTGTGAGACTATGTATAGTCTTGCAAGGAGGGTATTCAAACGGGAGTTGGTGCGGCCGAGCGCCGGTTCCTTGTATGGAGTCTGAAACAGACGATAATACAGAACCACCGGTCCTTCACTCACACCGTTTCTCTAATAGTTTAGCAGGTGAAATGGACCACCTACCGGCGCAGATCCCGGTGGTACCGATCTCCTTCTGGTATCACAGAAGATCTATCATCAAATGATGGAGTTTCAGAATCCATGCGAAAGGTAGGATCTACGACTTATTAAAGGCTGACACTGAAAGCCGACGTACCTTTGTATCGTACATAGATAATTACATGCTGGTGTGAAGCCTAAACAGAATTCTAATCCCACAGTCGTCTTCTACAACTCGACTTGGAGTGCCAGATCATGGGCTTGAGTGCACGGGATATTGCATTTATCATTGCCCTTTGTGGTGTCACAACTCTGAATGTAAGTATGAATAACTGTTTTCCGGAATATCAACACTTCATAAACTCGACGTGGAATCAAGGTTTTCCTCATCGGCGCTGTTACAGTTGCACTTCCCACTATTGGAAGAGACCTTAATTTCCGAGAGGTTTGTTTTATATTCCACGCACACTACTCTAACACGATATGCATCTGTCTAGGGTAATCTTTACTGGCCGGTCAATGTGAATTCGTACGTCCCTACAATAATTGCGACACAACTATGAGGCACTGACATCGTTAAATAGTTTGTCATTTGGAGGCTTACTTTTATTCTGCGGAAGACTGGGGGACATATTTGGAAACCGCTTCATGTTCCTAGTTGGGTCTCTATGGTTCGCGATTTGGTCAGTAGTCAAATTTGAATTTTCGAATTGTTAACTTACAAAATTCATGCCAGGAGTCTCGCCATGGCCTTTGTTCCAAGTTCAGATGTTTTCATCGTAGATATGGCGCTCCTGGGAATAGGATCGGCCGCCAACACTCCCGCTGCAATCGGATTATGTTCGTCATACTTTCCACCAGGAGCAAACAGGAGCAAGGCCTTCAGCGCACTGGGTGTTGGATCACCTGTGGGTTTTGTTCTGGGCATCATTGCTAGTGAGCTTTGCGTAGCAACATTTCCGATAGACAATTCATTCAACTTTGCAGGCGGTCTTTTGACTGAAAGTCGCGCCACATGGCGTTCATTGTTCTGCATTCAAGCCGCCAGAAGTCTTGATGGTTGGTTTCCGAGCAGCTGCGTGGACTTGTTTCGCATCGACACTGTTGGGCATTGTCATCGTCATCTTTGGGTTGAGAGACCTGGGTATTACCGGCACAAAAGCGAGGACGCGGAACAATCAGACAATCCCACTTTGAAATCGGGCCAGAGTGACTCGGAATCGCTCAAGTGAAAAGGAGCATCATTGTTTCGCCCAAGGCCGACGAATTGTTGTGGGATCTCCTTTGTTTTGTACAGTATCAAATAGACGGCGATCTGCGTTTTGACAGAGTATCAGTTATGTACCACACTAGACTAGAAATCCCCAGCTATGTATCTATATAAGTATACTTGCTGCTAAAAGTGTGATGTGCTGTTTGACACGAGTAAACTCAAACAGTGACACTCACTCATACCTGGAGTACTGTTATTACTGTAGCGGCTCGGTACCGACGGTAGGACAAGCTCGAGCGCCGTAGCGTACGTCAAAGAAGGCCTAGCTAAGGATGCAATTCATTATGACCGTACCTTGAACGGCTTCCTCAGTCAGGTCCTAGATGAATGCAAGATCAGCATGCCACTTTGGTCAGGGTAAACGAATCTCGAGTTCTTAGCAGTGCAAAGGAGGGTAATTCTTTAAGCCGCGTATACTTCTCTTGACAGAGCTGGCATCGACCTAAGGGAGCGTGATAGTTTTGCCTGGGGCCTGGCACATGCAGCTACTGTCATTTCGAGATAGGCAAAATATTCCCACGCATGTCGTGTCACCTTCAGTTGCTGACATCCATATGCTTTCTAGACAACAGTCATGACCATACAGGAGCTAGTGGAAGGCAGAATAGCGGGTGTGCTTTTTTGGTTCTTCGGGACGGAGCTGACCATACAACAATCCAGGACTTCAAAGGCCAAAAGACGGCGGACGACATTGTTCGCGTGGTGCTCATCACTAGCACGGTACGTACCCTTCGCCGTCGCTGCGTTTAGCCAGTTAGATCTCGTTTTGCAGTTTCTCTCTTTTGCGATTGGGTTTGCCTTCAGCTCTCTCATGATAACAATGAGTATATTCGCACTCTGTACTGTAGCGCTGTCTCTGGTAAGTTTGTTTCACGAGACGTTCATGTACCTGGTCAATTCATACCTTTACTATAGGTTGTCCTGCCTCCTTGGCCCATGTTCAATCACCATCCAGTGATATGGTTATCTGCAGAAGGACACAGTCAGAAGTAGTATTCGGTGTTTATTTTGATATCTTTGGCTCCTGCGACAGACTCGGAAAGCAAGACTTCTCTAGCTTCTGATAATCTGTTATTTGCAAAGAGTGAGTCTTATTAATACATATACTATTTGTATGCTTCGACAGCCTGAGAGTACAAGGTAAGCTTGTTGGGGCAATTGTTCCACATGCGCGTGTCGGGCCTATGATTACAGTGCCTTGCCATAGTGGTTGGCATCGCTACCTCTGAGTTTGAAGCGCTAGCCAAGGCCTCAGCCATTTTCATATCCACGTTTTGAAGTTCTGAATGAGGAAGAAGGAAATGGATCGTTTCCACCTTAGGGGATTTTTGGCACTGGTGAGCTGATGAGACCTGGTGAGACATACATGAGAAAATCAGGGCTCTATATCTGTTGGATTATCAAGTGGGAGCAAATATCCGTTTGCGAACATAGACGCTTGACCGCCCTGAGTGATTTTAAAACGTTGATTCGGAGGCGGTTTCGCTGACTAGCGAGCACTGCCCTTGAGAGTGCTTGGTTAACGTTAGAGACGTTCATGGCAGCATTCTACCCGTCCTCTATGGCAGCGCCGCTAGGACAGGTGCCTGAAGAATCTGGTTTGGTTACGCCGTCGCACGCAGGAGGTTATGAGTTTGATATGACCATCACGCAACCACCCTCGGCTCATCAGCCACAGCTTCTTTCATCACCTCCACCAGCAAGGTCACATACTTTAACACCGTCAACAGCAGCTACAACAACCTTCAGGACCACGACCACGACGCATAATACTGCTATTCCACGCCCTTTACCCTCTCCAAGGCCGCAGGCCACGTCTCACAGGCCCCGCCCGGTTTCAATGCCTCCACAGGCATTCGCTGGTACCACAACTTCAATGTCAAGTTCTTCAGACCGCGAAAAACAGCAGACTACAGACTCAAAACACCGTCAGATCAGAGATGGTTCAACCAGCAAGCAGGGTCGAAGCTCAAACCGCATCCTTGGTGACTATACCTTGACCAAGACGCTTGGAGCTGGTAGTATGGGAAAGGTCAAGTTGGCTATTCACAATGTCACGGAAGAGAAGGTGTGTGCTACGTTCGTATCAAGCATGGTTTATCGTTCGAACACCCTGGTTGTTGTTCGTAGCTCGCCGTCAAAATCCTCCCCCGAGTGTATCCGCAGGCCTCCCAGCCAAATGGTTCAAATGCAACTCCAGAAGCAGTCGCAAAGCAGGCCTCAAAAGATGCCTCGAAAGAGATACGCACTCTCCGTGAAGCTGCCCTCTCTATGCTTCTCCATCACCCATACATCTGCGGCATGCGTGAGATGATCGTCCATCAACATCATTATTACATGGTATTTGAATATGTGAACGGCGGCCAGATGCTCGACTACATTATCAGTCACGGTCGGTTGCGGGAACGTGTCGCTCGCAAGTTCGCTCGTCAGATAGGAAGTGCGCTAGATTACTGCCATCGAAACAATGTGGTTCATCGAGGTCTGCGGTTGCTGTATCTGGATTGTCTCACATTCTCATTGTTCTATATCGTAGATCTCAAAATTGAGAATATCCTCATATCTGAAACAGGTAACATCAAGATCATCGACTTTGGCCTGTCTAATCTCTACGATCCTTCCTCCACTCTGTCGACCTTCTGTGGTTCGCTATACTTTGCGGCTCCCGAGCTCCTTAACGCGAAAGTCTACATAGGACCAGAGGTTGATGTATGGAGTTTTGGAGTTGTCCTGTACGTCCTCGTATGCGGCAAAGTGCCTTTCGACGATCAGAGTATGCCAGCACTGCATGCCAAAATTAAGCGCGGGCTGGTCGAGTATCCTGTGTGGTTAAGCGCAGGTGCGTCCAAATTGTGTTGTGAAGCGTGTTGCTCACTGATCGATTCTCCAGAATGCAAGCACTTACTCTCCCGAATGCTTGTCACCAACCCCGCTGTGCGTGCCTCGCTGACCGAGGTACTCGAGCATCCATGGATGACTCGCGGCTTCAGTGGTCCTCCTGATTCACACATGATACACCGGGACCCGCTCCGACCTGATGACCTTGATAAGCAAGTCATCAAAGGCATGAAAGGCTTTGAATTTGGGACTGATGAGGAAATCGAACGAAACCTCCGAAAGGTTCTCGAATCTGACGGTTATGTCCGCGCGGTCCAGGCATGGGACCGCAAGCGCGGTGGTCGCAATGGCGCAAACCACCGTTTGGAGTTCTCTAACTCTTCTCTTGCTATATCCTTCGATGGATCGGCTACGAATGCACACAAGAATGAGTCTACGATGAGCCCTTCAAAGAAGTCGAAACGTTTTTCCGGATTCGACTTTTATCGCCGGAAGCTGTTCTCCCCTTCCTCATCGCCGCCCACCACTCCTTCTCACTCGCCGCCCACCTCTCAGTCGCTTCTGTCAATCGGCGATGGCGCGCGCGACCCCCTCGACCCAACGCAGGGATTTCATCCACTGGTTACAATGTATTACCTTTCCCGCGAGAAGTTAGAGCGCGAGCGCGTCTATGGTCCCGGGCGCTTTGCTAGCTCCCAGCTCTCCATTCAATCGGCCACCGCAGCCAATGCATCCGCCGCTGATACTTCTGCACTACCTCCTTACCCTGCTAAGCCCTTCACTCAACCTGCTCCTGTCAAGAAGGAGCAACAGCAGCTTGCTACCTCTGCATCTGCTAAAGCAGACTACGGCATGCCTCTCCCGCGCTTTCCCGCACCTGAGACGTTGCACTACTCCGACATGTCCTATGATGCAGCATCTGCAGCGGCTTCCCCGACCTCTGCTGCATTCCATGGGCAAGTGAGAGCGCGTGACTCGGGGCTACCTCCACCTGCTACGAAGCACGTCGAAATTTCCCAGCCACTTACGCCAACACCGGGGCCAGCGACGGCACTTCCGCGCGCTCCACCTGCGTCCACTCATCGCCGCAGCCACAGCATGAGCCAACGACCAACTGCGCTCCGTGGATGGGGTGGAGGGTTTGTTAGTGGCGAAAGTCGTGTAGACGAGCATGGTGAGGAGCAGGGCCCTCATTCGGCTGGTCTGGAGGGTGAGTTTACGGAGCAGGATAAGGTTCTGTCCGCGGGGGATCGTGCACATACACATGACAGTCCGTTGTCAGCTGGCGCAACGCTCGTGCGCAGGTTTGGAACGCTTCTAGTTGGGAAGGGCGATGATAGTAAACGGAGTACCAGTAAACGAGCGACGATGTTAGGCGGTGTGCCATTGCGATCATCGGGAGATGACGGCGAGAAGGCTGCTGAATCGTCTTGGAAGCGTGGCGCGGATGTTGATGTACGCAGATCCTCCATCATTGCGCCTCAGCCTATCACTGCTAGTCAGAGCCAGCCCCTTGGGAACGTGCACAGACGAGCTGCCACGATCCTTGACCCCCAAGGTCGTCAGATGCGGCACGAACGCCGGAGTAGCACTGGTGGAGCCTTGCTCCCTAGTATAGGTGGCACCATTGGACGACACCGTCGACCATCGACTGGTTATGGGACGAGCAGCGGACGTCCAACTGGGTTGAGTGGTTTTGGAGACACTGAGAAGGTGGAGGAGAATGTTGAGCAGGAGGCGGTCGATCAGGACGATGGCTTCAAGGATGAACAGAGTGGGCACCACAGCGATAAGGAATTCAAGCCTGTGCATCTTAAGGGGCTGTTCAGGTGAGCGCAAGTCTTGTGTTTATTTGGACAGTGCTGACATGTGTGACAGCGTTGCGACCACTTCTACAAAACCTCCATCAATGCTCAAGGCTGATATCAAGAAGGTTCTGGACCGAATGCAAGTTCAATATCGGGAGACACGGGGTGGCTTTGAGTGCATTCATGTACCCTCCATTGACATTTCGTCTGTCCCCGAATCAACTCAAGTTCAAGGACGCTCTAGTCATCACCGCAGAACTGCTTCTAGTGGCTCTAACGAAACTGGAATTACGCCTCGATCGCTCGTGAAGAAAGCGTCGAAGATGTCTTTCGGTATGAAGTCCAAGGATCGGGAAAGGGAGAGGGAGAGTATGAAGGAAAAAGAGCACGAGGCTCCCTTGGAGAAAGAGCTCCCTCACAGGCCGTCGATTGGGACTGCATTAAGCGCCACCCCCAGCAGTGGATCGTCTTCATTCTTCAATGTCTCTTCTAATACCCATACCATTATGGCGGACAATTCTCGGCATCAGGAAGCCAACGTACCAGCGCCGGGGACACCTCATGAAGAACAGCGTGATCCATTCCGCTCGCAAACACCGGTAAAAGGCAAGGTCTTACCGCCCATACCCCGTGACTTTGCTGCCACGCCACAGCCGCACACTCCTCGGCCGGCACCTTTGCCTACCGGCGAAGTCGATCGTGAAGTATTTGAATCTATCGGTGCCAGTTCATTATCAGTCCGTTTCGAAATTAACATTATTAAGGTATGATATTCCTCCTCGTCATCGTCTCAAACATCTGATAGACTTTACCCTAGGTTCCTTGGCTGCCACTCCACGGCATACAGTTCCGAAGGGCTGGTGGCGATGGCTGGCAATACCAGATGCTCGCCCGGAGAGTTCTTACTGAGCTTAAGCTATGACCAATCGCCTTCGCGGTCTCCATTATGATTTGCCTCTTTCCAAGGCATCCTCATGCTCAATGTTTCCATCTTTTGTGAAATATCTTTTCTTTATGGTTTTCCCTCCTTTCTCTAGTTAAAACGGTTAGACACGACGTGTCACAGGTGTTCCGTTCATACGCTGCCGAATACTTACTTGCCCGCTCATTTCTCACGTGTATCAATGCTTCTCTCGAGGACGGCAATAATACCTATCTTATATGTTCTTCCATCTTGCTTTGGAAGTACTGTACAGAACGATGGAAATTCTGCAAGAAGTCGTACTGCCCTTGCTTCAGTTGTGTCATAACGTCTGAGCTGCCTTGAGACTCACTTGAAAGATCAACACTCATTCATGCTGATTAGCTCAGGCCGTCCGAGACTCGGACTCGGAGTGTGAGGATACCCATAAATCACATGAGTGCGGTGATAAATGCTTAGGCAGGATACAAAAAAAACCTATACGACGACTAGTGTGCTGTACGATCGATCTAGGACAACGTTGGAGTCGGATATTTATGGGCGTCCTGGTCCCATAGTTTGGTATAGGGAAAATCATGTGTTCAGTTACCCTATTCAAAATTCAATGCAAGCGACAAACTGGTTAAAGTTGAAACATTATGACTTTTTGAATAGAAATAAAGACCAACTATTCCAAACTAAGTAGTACCAATTTAATTGACAGCAAGCGAACAACAAATAGCTGGTATAGATTGCACATAAGATCATCAGATCAGCTTGAGCCTAGCCCTTGGCAAGGATTGGACGGTCTGGAACAGCTCTGTGACATCATCCCACCCCTCAAGACCCAGCCCCAGCATACCCGGAACCATCCAGGTCAGCGACACTCCAGCATCTTTGCAAGCCTCCGTGACACTGATGAACAACTC